GTAGCTGCTCGCATTAAATTCAAGGCATTAATGTTTGCCTACAAAACCACCACTGGCTCTGCACCCATTTACCTAAATTCATTACTTCAGAGTTATGTGCCCTCTAGAAGTTTGCGTTCTGCAAGTGAACGGTGTATTTTTGTGCCATCTCAAAGAGGCACAAAATCACTTTCACAGACTTTTTCATTAACTGTTCCCTCCTGGTGGAATGACCTGCCCAAATCAATCCAAGCAGCTGAGTCCTTAACCATCTTCAAGAAACGACTAAAAACACATCTGTTCCACCTTTATTTGACCCTCTAACTCTAGCACATTCTATTTTAATTCTACTTTATATTTATTTTTTGTTTTATTTTTAATAAAAAAAAAAAAACAACAACAAAACTAACGAACACTAGCTTTCTATTTTTCTATTCTATCTACGTGTGCGTGTGTGCGTGCGTGTGTACACCTTGCTACGTGTACTGTAAGGCTAACCGAGACTTGTCATTTGCACTTATATATTGTTGCTCTTTTGTTAGTTTTGACTGCTTTTATTGTCCTAACTCAGCTTTAATTAAGTTGTACATAGTTATATTAACTATCGGGGGCTAGGCAAATAGTACTAGCATAACTGCTGATTATCGTTTGAGCTTTATTCAAGTTGTACGTAGTTATTTTAACTATCGGGGGGCTAGATAAAAATATTATCGAAATGTTAACATATTTCATAGTACTAGCATAACCGCTGATTATTGTCTCAGCTTTAGTTAAGTTGTACGTAGTTATGTAACTATCGGGGGCTAGACAAATAGTACTAACATAACTGCTGATTATTGTTTTGAGCTTTAACTAAGTTGTACATGGGTAACTGTAGGGGGCTAAACAGAACTACTATTTAAAGAATGGTAAGCATGGGCGACCTATTAAATAGTATTAGTCATAACCTCTGGCTAATGATCAGACTGGCGAGTTTGTGATCGTGGGGCCCACGTAGAGCGGCCGACGTGAGGCACCCTGAGCGACATAGATTCCTAATGAACGAGTAAATATAAAGTAAAGGGTTAACTAGAATAACCAAATGTCAGAATAATAGTAATAATTAGAGACAGACAAACAACCAATTTGCCTTTCAACCTAAATTCGAGGTCATACTAAAATGGAGTCAGATTAGATAATAAAATGGAGTCAGATTAGATAATAAAATGGAGTCAGATTTGAGTTAAACCTACACTGAATAACTTTGCGCACTGAAAAGACCGAACACGCAAGAAACCTTCAGCCACCACTGGATACCTTCCTTGGGCCAAGTGCGTGGACCTTACACCTTGTACTCCTCTTTTGGTCTACTAACCTGTTTCCTTTCTCTTTCACTATCTGATCCAGATGTTTGATCCCTCATTTTTTTCCTTTTACGATTTTCCACTAAAGTCCAATTACTATTACAGTACTTTCTAATTCCCCGCCATCCATTCCATCTGTCTCCGGATCACTTCCTGAATCTACGCAACTTCCTTCTATCACCACCTCAGTCACACCCCAGTTTTGCCACCGCCTCTACTGTCCGACTCCACCAGTTTCATATTAAAGCGTCTTTGGTGTTTCCATGTTTTTTACAAAACAAAACCGGAAATCGAGGGGTTATGATGTCATTAGCAGGTGACACAATGACACTATGGACACGGTCCATGTCACTAGTTAAAATTGCTTATTTCTCTGGATTTAAACATTCTTCGAAACATTTGGGATAATGTAAGTAGACAAGTCAGCAAAATATACAACACTGTTCTAGTGGTTTTTGGATATGTTAATAAAAATAAATAAATAAAAATCTTACATATTGTGCCTTTAAGTCAGTTACCTGCGTTTACAGAGCCAATAGAAGAGAACCAAACAGCTAATTAAGGACAAGGCACAGCCCACAGCGGTAATGAACGTCAGAGCCTGTAGATGGCGAACTGTATCCTTCTGTTCCAGTTGCTGAAGCAATGAAGAAAAAGAGACAAGGTGTGTGTACAGTATCATTACATTTGTATGGTGTAATCAATTAACACACTGTTCCACAGGCTATGCATATTACCAAATATTATATAAATATAATACGAATTACGAATATAAATTCATAAAGTCTGTCTCTCAGTGAGAAATATTACAAGTAAAAATTTTCTTGGTAAAGCTGCTACTCACCACAAGAATGGCAAAGTATGTGAGGAGATTACAGCAACATTCTGTCTCTGTGTCGTGGATTTTAACAGTCTCACAGCCGTCATACCTCCAGGTCACTTCATTATCTGCAGAGACACATTAACAGAACAGTCAGTAATTGTGCTTCAGCTGGCATTGAAACATTTGTTTAATGTCCAATGTTGATTATTGTTGATGAGCACCTTTACTTGTGTCCCATGAAACACATCTTCTAGAATAGTTAGCCTGCTAAAATGAAATATCAGAGGTCAAATCTATAGTCAGAGCAGTTAAAAGAAAGTGACAGGGCTGGATTAACACATGGGCCTATTGGGCTTTTGCCACGGTTTCAAACGGGGGGCCTTTAAACAGTGCAGAGATTCATCATAGCTATTGAGAAGTTCAGCTGTCATAAATTCTATATGAGTAAATAAGGCCCTTGTGATTTTAATGCTGAAAACAACATCAACAGTTTGATATTTATCAGGCTTCACCTCACCAGCCTTGTCATGTGGTTTTCAGTGTTAAGGAAATGGCAGACATTTAGTCTACTCGGTAGAAAATAATGTGAGCTATAGGTGTTGCTAAGCTTATTAATAGCCTTTTAACATCATAACAAATATGGTAACTTATAAAGGTATTAAAAACAATAGTGAACATGCTCAAAAAGACGTACTGGGAAAGCAGAGTGATGAAAGCTGATTCTGACTTTTGATGATCTCGTTCTCCACAGAGAGTCCAACTATGTCACCCAGAAGATCAGACGAACCCCTCTACACAGCACAGACACTTTTATGTCATACTGTACATTGCTGTATATGTTGGTGGGCAAATGGAAGCTGAATAATCCACATGATTTCTCTCTCCTTAATATTAATATTGTCATATACCTGAAATAATGTTTTGTCCTTGTAGTAAGTACACACCACTTTGGATGTGCTCCTTGACTGGGATTTCAGACAGGAGGGAAGATAAACGGAAAGTATCATGTTTGGTGCTACAGTTCAAGGGCCCTGGAATGCAACATACTGTATATATTTATTCATATGCTAGAAAGAGACCTTCAAAGGTTATTTGAACTTTGTGCTTCTAAAAGTTGAATGCTATTTACTGGCAGAGTGAAATTGAGTCCTGTGAAACCCACTTCCATCTCAATGATTGTGCTCTGAGCACAAGCAAACACACACAAACACATGCATTTAGAAATTATCAACAGATACATATATTAAAAGTATTATAAGTTATTTTTTACATATTTACACTCGAATGGAGTAAAACAGCATGATTAATACAAGTGCAAGTTTTGAAGATGTTCCATCAAAGATCCAACAATGTCCTTGGAAGTTCACGCATATATGCACATATAATGGATTCAGCTTCCTGTTTGCGGTTCAATCTTAAGCTTGTCATGACTGCGCTCTTATGAACATGTACAACATCACCTTTTGCTATCTGCATGATAGACCACATAAGTTCATAACACTCTAAAGTAATAGGGAAACTAACAAATTAAAAGAAAGTAATGATTGTCTTACATGTTTGCTCCACTGGGGTTCTTACTTGCCTCATCACATAAGTTTTCCTCTGTAAGTGGGAGACTAAACATGCTCAGAAAGGCTGAATTTACAAGTGAGTTCAGTCAGTGTAACTTTTTGATATCTATAGTTTTAAAAAATTATAAGACAACAGAATCTAAATATCTTACTGCAGTTGATTGAATCTCCTTTAAAGTTATATATTTTCATGACATCATAACTGATGATATCGCCGTGGGTGCTGCCATTCACGATACCGTACAAAGCAGCAGATTCGTGTTTCTTTTGTGAGAGGTCAGTGCAGCAGGTTCCTTGAAGGCCATGTGATTCACACAGAGTGTGATTCTTTCCAATCACCTGCACTATCAGCAGGTCCAGCAGTGGCTCCCAGAACACACAGAAATAACTTTGATTTTGAAGAGGGTTTGATTTTAGAGGAATGGATGAAGATCGTGTGCACTTGGCTGTGATGCTGCCCTGAATTGAGAGTGTACTCTCATTGGCTGAAATCTCAATTTCATTACAGCCTGTTTTCAAATAAGATTTCAAGATGCATTGCCATGGCGCCATATGCCACATATCTTAAAGTCTCTGTAATTCTCTATTGCTAAACAAAATATAGTGTATATATATATATATATATATATATATAAATAAATAAATGTTAAGCTGCAAAGTTTGTTTGAAGAGTTCTAAAGCTATTTATAAAAAAATAAATAAAAAAATCCAAACTATCACATGTTGTTGTTGCTGCTACATGGACAAGCACAAAATATGGGAAAAATTAATTCACGACAAACCATCAAACAATAAATAAAATAGAAATTAAAAAACATTAAACTTGCTTTTACATTTCATTACATATTTGATTCTGCTAATATCATTTAATTATTTTAAATTCTATCCCTGAATTGAATTCTTTAGAGACACTTTCTTACCTAGAACCAAAGTGAACAAAAGACAGGTGATAATCCACATTCTTACAGTCCTTGGATTCTGCTTCATAAATGGTGCTTGAAAAGCAGCAGAGAATTCAGTTAAAGAGAGATGAAAACCTGCTCAGTGACATTTCTTAATATTCAGACAAGGGTTTCCTATATAAAAATAAAAAAAAGAATTCCATTTGAAATATAAAAAATCTCATAAAGGCTCTACTCTGTCAGAAACTCAGAATTCTTGCGATAAAGTATCACAGTCACAGTCATAGGCCACATCAAGAAACATGTTCCTGAAGTTTCATGAACGAGAACATATACAGTACATCCATGCATACTCATCTCTCAATAAAAATGCATCAGTTTGTCATGTAAATATGACACCAACTAATACTTGTTTCAGTTATCTATTAGTTAATGATGAATAGTATCATCAGCCTTTTGCCATGTATGTATAACATGACGCCATCCTGTTATAATGATACAAACGCCTTCACAAAGTTATAACAGAGTATATGGAAGACTATATCTGTCTGGATTTTAAGAAATGCCTTCAACCAAAATGTGTGCACACTATGAAAAGTAAAGAAAGTTCTCTGACTAAAAACTCAGTGAACACATTGAGAGAGAGAGAGATCTACTCACTTGATTAACATCTGCTAATATGTATCTCACTGCTTTCTCGTCTCACTCATCTGACTCATCATTCAAAGCTGACAACCATATTTCACATAGCAGGATGAAAATTATAAAATGGTTGACAGTTTTAACAGGGTTTTTAGGTGGTAATATGAAAACACAATTCAAAATAATCTCAAAGCAGTGAAAACTGGCCTGTTGTGGCCTGCTTTCTCTCTCTCTCTGTGGCCGTTCTGCCATGGTTTGGTTAAAGTCACAGTGAAGTAAAATTTCCTGGCTGTGAGAATGAACACATCTTGTGTTTCATTAATATAAATGTAACATTAATCTTCTTTTGGAAGGAGAGAGGAGTGTGTGAAACGTGTGTATTTTGGGGCACAGTTGCTAGGTGGAGTACAGGTGTGATATATTTCTTATGTGTCCCTGCTTTATAATATTTTCAGTCTGAAGAGCACATAAGGAAAAATTATTCAATTCAATTCAAGTTTATTTGTACAGCGCTTTTCACGATACAAATAATTGCAAAGCAACTTTACAGCAAATTAAACTTCTACAATATTTAGTGGTAGCTTATCAGTGGTGACTGTCAGTTAATGTACATATGGCAGAAATGTATGGAAAAATCAATTAAAGACATAATCAAACAGACGATGAACACTATTAACAGCAATTATTATATGATGCAATCAAACGTATAGCAAAATGTGGTAGTTCTGTAAGTTGTTTCAGGGTTGGCATCATCTGAGGTCCTCTGAGGGGTTGGCATCAGCTCTTCTCAGGTGTTCTGGATCCAGACTGAAGCTTGTGTAAAATAAGATAATTTATTTCCAGCAGTGGGAGGTGGTCCAGGTTGTGTAAAGGATGGGTGTGTTCTGATGAACCATTTACAGGAAGAAAACATTATGTAATCCCAAAAGGACGGTCTGGCAGATCTTTATCCATAGGAGTGAGAGAAAAATACTTTCCCCCCACTTTTTTTCTTTAGCGATCCCAAAATGATTAAAAATAATTTTGAAAAGTAATAGTGTATGATTTAGGCTAAAACTCGTAATTATTTCGGATGAATAATTACTAATAAATAAATTGATTTTTTTATGACAGTTTTCCATGTTAATGTAGTTTACTTCAAGCCTGATTTACACGCTGGTTATGGTGTTGTGGTCATTCTGCTATAACTGAGGATATGGCTCCCCCTAGATGACTTTTACATCATTTTCAGGAAGTTATTTGCTCATTAGATATAACGAAACATATTTTATCAGTTTACATATACCCAGCTGGTACACATATAGCATGATAACAGCCACCTCTGTGTATGAATGTGCTCTGACTGGTCAATAAATGCTTTAATTTGCCTCAGAATCTGTACTTTCTGCAAAACTGCCATTTATAGTCTGCCCATTCTCTAGTGCGGGGATCCTCAAATCTGGACCACGAGATCCACTTTCCTGCAGAGTTTAGATCTAACCCTAATCAAACACACCTGAGCATGTTAATCAATGCTAACCAATGTCTTTGGGATCATTAGAAAATCACAGGCAGGTGACTTCGATCAGGGTTGGAGCTAAACTCTGCAGCGCATTGGCCCTCCAGGGCAAGATTTGAGGAACCCTGCTCTAGTGACTCACTCTAAATGAATCCAGTCTCTCTGACAGACTCTCCCTATGCTACCAATTACAATGCTCTTTACACCCCTTCTGTTTTGCACCATATCCAGTAGGGGGGTGTTTTTTTTTTAGAATAGAGACAGTCTCTCCTGGTGATGATAGGATAGAGAAAGATGCAGCTGCTTTGGCAGGAGGCCTTATCTGGTGCCTGCACAGTTTGTTCATGGGTAATCTACACTGCCACAATCAATCAGATCAGACCTTTCGCTTTGGAAGTGGTGCTCATGTGTGTGGTGCAGAAGCTAAATAGATTCAAAAACGTTTTTTTGTTTTTGTTTTTTGGTGGTTGCAGGATGAAATCAGAAAATATGTCTGGGCTTTTTCTCTCTGTTACATTTTTTTGATTGTATTGAATAAATGGACAAAATGTATACCTTAAATACAATGTAAAGTGTCTGCCAAATACATAAAACAATATAATACAAACAACACCATTTGCATTACTTCTATCCACATGTACACATAACACCAATAAATAAATAAATACAACTACAGAGATTTGATCAGAAAACCTTAGCATTTAAATATAATTATCCTATAACGACGTATTATTGGGATATACAGATATAACTTATATTTATAAGCATTTAATGTAAACAGACTGCTTTACTGTAAAAAACAATATTTTGAATAAATGTCTTTTGGGTCTCTGAATAACACTGATGTGTTTTTCCCGTGAGCTCCATTTTCTCACTGTATAAACCATATGAAAACTTTTTTCTTTCAATCAACAGTTATTTTCAATAAATTAGATTTTTCTTACTGTCATTTCATACAATAGCCTATGTCAGGCTTTACAGGGTTAATAATATTCTTTCTTTTTTTTTTTTGCAGAAAAATTTACTGTAGTAACCGTAGTATTTTGAAATAAACTATAGTAACCTTATATTTCTTTAAGGCACTCTACTGTCAGCTATCTCACATATTTTGGCAAAATACAGTCCATTGCATAGTGGTGTTGACAAAAAGCTTCCAGGCTGGAAGTTTGGTGACGGTGAAGGCGCCGCCTCCGTTCTGTTCTGTTATCCCTCCCCTTCCATCCTTTGCTCACATTGCTCTTCCCTTCGGTGGGAAAATTCCTGCTGGAACATCCACGGTGGATTTGAACTCGGGAATTGTATTGGAAAAGCAGGGATCTGCAACACACGCTGGAGGATTTTCTTCCATGTTCTTTCTTATATTGTTCAGGTATGTGCATGTGCTAATGGATCACGGCATGATAACAGATGTATTGTTGTGAATTATCCAAACAGCGGTGTCGAGTGACATTCAACACGACAGAAATGTGCACACAGACGTCGTTTTGGACACACCAAACTTCTCAAATATGCAGTTTACCCGTGAATTGCTACACTGTTTACCTTGAAGCTGATGTGTTGCTGTTACAAATAG